ATAGTCATTCTACTGATACCAAAGGTGCTTCCAATTTCAGTTAAGATATGATCCTTTATTATAGACCATAATCATGTATCACTGCTTCTCTTACTACTCTAGTTTTGATAATATTGTATTATCCTTCCAAGCAAATACCCAATACCATTAATATATTAGGACTTATATGCACAATCAATTAATTATCTTTCCAAGCAAGTATTCTACAAGTTGAGTGTAGGGATATTGGTATTACCAAATATAGAAGTGATAGGATGTTGGTATTGCCTTCAAGTCACCCAACCAGAAAACTTACACGCACAATTTTCTACTATCTAAACCTTCTGTAATGCTGCTATCACACATAGTATCTGCACTCTACAATTTGGTCTCTTTCCAAGAACTCCTTATTTTGGTCTCATACTGCACTTGAACTTTTCCACAGAGCTTCACATCTGATTTATATGATCTCTGTAGATTACAGAGACAAATTTTATTATAATTTGCCTCTAGCCCAACTCAAACTATTGACCTTGTCTGTAGAGATTTGGGAGCTTAACCGCTAAGCTATGGGATCCAAACCCAAAATATATCTGTTCTTCTAATATACTTGATTCATATTTGCAAAATATTTTGCAATAGATAAATTTTTTGAAAAATATTAATGATATCTTGAATTATTTAGACTAATAAATTATTAATAATATAAACTCTATTTCTTTACTAAATTGTAATATATAATTATAATTATTAAAATTTTAAAGATAATATACATTATTTACAAATAATATTGTAGCACAACCTCTACAATTATTTAATTTTTTTCACGCACCAATAGTATATATCTTTTCCAATTTGTTTTTTTACTATTGAATAACTACAATTTACAAGTTTCTTTCATTTTTTAAAATTTTAGATTTTTTAAAGAAAACATTAAATTAAGCTTTAAAGATAGTTTGAAAAATCTTTATTAGCTCAATTATCTGCATATTGTTGCAAGTTATCAGCTACAGTATTAAATTCACAATACTTTATTCAAATAAAACCGTCTAATGGATAGGTTTGTTTAAAGCTTGTTTATAATTAAAAAATGGCAATTATATCAAAATTTATATGAATCTAATAAAAACTCGGGTTTGAAAATTTGTAAAAATAGACCCTTTAATACAGGACACCCATATAGTTGTTGACTCAGCCAACTAAACGATTTTTGATTCATATCAACTAATTGAAATAAAACATCCAGATTTGAGTGCGCGAGAGGGAAAATGGGCGAGTAAATTTTATTCGTTAATCACTATGCCGATTTTAATGATTTGGTGACCAATCATAGGTATGACAAATAAACATTTACGACATAAACTATATAATCTATGATTGGTTGCCCATTTTCCCTCTCGCGCACTCATTGAAGTTTATCTATTCTTTTACTACATAATTTGTACTATTTAAAGCCAGTAGGCAGCACCCATACGTAGTTATTTTTAGGTCGGCATTGGAAAATTCTGTCTGCTCCGGTTCATTACGTTGAAATTGAAGTATGATTTTTTTTTTGATTTACATCAGCCAATTAGACAAATAGAACCGATAAGCCGATTTGCCATTCAATTAGATAATCTATTTCGAATTTTTAACGTTAAAAACCTTTTCTTTTATACTTATTTCGAAATATGCACAAGGGCCATCATAACATTTTTTTTTTAGGAACCCGTATTCTTAAAATACAAAATTATATAAAACTTAATGCTTTAACTAGAGTTAAAAGACCTTTTGCTTCACATTATTCTACTGAATTTAAACCAAAAACTTTATACTCATCACCAAGCTCGTTTCCACCAGAACCACCGATAGATCCTTTACCTACCCCGCCACCGGAACCAGCTGGTGTCAATAATCCTATAGATTCATTGCCACCTCTTGATAAGACTTGTTCTTCAATTACTTTTCGTATGTAGCTAAAGCGAACATTGTCTATTTGTCAAGAATAAAGTTTTTGTCAGATGTTAAACGTTAATAGCTTACTGTCTCTTAAAGCATGGATTCACGGTGATCAGCCGCCACGGATAAAGAATTACCCATATCCTATACCAGATTCAGGAAACGATATAATATTTTCATTGCTGGCATTGTTACCAACATTTATACAGCATGAACTTTGTAAATTGTTTGGTTTTCGTTTGTTGAAGGATTCTACATCACCCGCATATTTTCCAAAAGAATTTATAATAGGCGGTAGGTATTATCATTATTATTAAAGAATTTAAACAAACATTTACATGATGAATAAAGTTGTCGCCCCAGTCCGAGAATAATTCGTGTGGAAATGACAAATTCTCTGATTTCCTTGATTTAAAGAGTTTAAAATAATATAATGTCCATAACCTAATCGTCT